AAGCAAATACAAGGTTGTCTGTGGACAAGGCCTTAGCAACAGTTTGGTGTTCCGAGCATTCTGTGGCATGTGGTGTTTTTGTGGACCCAGAAGCAGACTCAGAGACAGATGGCAAGTTAAAAGATGTAATTTAATGTCCAAACTCAGGGAAAAAGGTATGAGAGAAAGTCCGGCCGGCTGGCTGGCTGGCTGTTGTGTGGGCTGGAGACACTGTGGAGAAGCAGAGGAGAAGGAGGTGAGAAGACATACAACAAATCACAGGAAGCAAAAAGTCACGAGCACTTAGCCGAGTAGAAGGCCAGGAGAAGCGTCTGTACCACTCAGGAGCGAAGACAATACTCAGGCGCTGAGACTGAGGGCTGCTGGCTTCTTCAAGGGCCTTGAGTGCCAATGCAGCGCAGGTGTAAAGTCTCTCTCAGCCTCAGCGACCGGGGGGAGAGAAAGTTCACTGAAACAACAGTCAAGCCAGACCAGGGACACAAGGAAAACAGGAAGTCCTATCAAAATAAAACTGGAGATGGAGGCGTCTCACCACACATTGTGCAAGGTGAGGCCTCGGGTTATTTGACTAATTAAATTGGGCTTATTTTTTCATCCAAATATAGATACTTCTTACCTCTTGGCAAAAAACAAAACAAAAACAAAATGAAAAATTCACAGGAAGTACAGACCAAAAGAAGGAACTAATTGTAGCATGGTTGCTTTGCAACTTCTTGTACAGTTAATGCAAAAACATCTCTCATGATTTTGAAAACCTGAAGGTCTATTTGTCATAATGCAAAATTAAATTATCATTTAAGGTCACTCCTCAAAAAAAATCAAATTTTAGTGAAAAAACATCCAGCGCAGAGGAAGAGGGAGCTGTTTTGAATTTTGAAACCTCTTTGGTTGCCCTACTTGGAAAGCTGTATTACAGCTCTATGGTTATTACTTTTAAGTTTCAATATTCCTAATAACAAGCCACATATGTGAAAGAGATTCGATCTCACTGTGGTTAACCTGGATAGTGGAACACTTCTATATAAAGTCAAGGAGCATGTGCTTGGCATTTCCGCACTTCAGAGTAAAAGCAGGCATTTGGCCCAGATCTCAAAGACATAATATTGGGAAACAAGGACGAATTTCCTCTGTAATGGAATTCTGGTCACGCTCCCGATGTCGCCAACACAGTCCTTTTTTTGGTTGTTTTGGAGCATTTGTTTTTGCACTTGCCCTGCTTCATTTGTGGGCATGAGACGCAAGGAGAAACAAACATGCACGGGGAACGCGGTGAGCAGATGGGTGAGGGTTCAAGAGGCGAGCAAAACTTAGACGAAAAGTCTGATTAGGATTTAATGTGTGAATCTCATCCTTCATTGCTGAAAATGGTTGACTGTTTTTCACGGCTCTGTTTTTAAAATTTGAACTCACTTTTCATAAACCTGTTTTTGATTGGTCTAGATGCATTCCAGCACAGGAGCAAAGATTTATAACATCCTTTCAATAATGTTCAGGGATGTTTTTCTCAACATATCAATCCATCAAATGTGAGTGAGGTCTTCTTTTTCCATCAAAATATCCAAGGACTTTCTGAGTTCCTCAGGTGCAGCCAGCTCCAGGGTCAGAGGCCACAGCACATCACAGTCAGGAATTGGGTTGCGTCGGCCAACTTTCACAGGAAACACATTGTTCTCCATGGGGAATTATTCTGCACTGGGAGGGGGGCTTGAGAGATGTGTGTTTATGTGATTATATGACAGTCTGAAGTCATCAATAGGACTGCAGTTATAGAATTCAAAAACTGCAAATAAACTGTTGTGTATCTTCCTTGGGTCCTGTGAATTTTACTTTTTTACATAAATATTCTTTATGAAATCCAACTGTTAAAAAGCTACGCTACCAGACCATATATGGTAAAAACACAGCCTTTTAGGAGACTAAAAAGAGACAAAAAGCTGCGCAAGCGCCTATAGAGCTCATAGCAGCCTGGATCAAAGTTAGGTATTAAGGTCTCAAAGCACAACCAGCCTGGTTTCTTCATATAGCAGCAGTAACAGTTTAAAGCCTGTAATGTACAGAGATCTGTTGTAAAAGCAAAGCCAAGCATGTGTAAAACTACTATGCACAGATGTTACATAACCACCACACTGATTAAAGCGCTGATTTGAACTGTTCTGGTGTCTGCAGCTGGTTTTCCTCAGAAACTGAACAGTGCAGGTGTCATTGAGGTTTCATTTTGATCCCGCCTAAAACTCAAATCTCACATCTTAACCACATTCCAGACTGATTTTCAACAAGTCTGTATTGTTCAAGAAAATGTTATTTCATTCCTATTCTTAGTCTTAAACGCTGTGTGCACAGGTGGTTTCCTACAGCTCCTGTGCCGTTTGACGTTGATGGTGGGTAAATGGTGCAGCATTCAGTGGGGGGTCCTCCATCTTAACATAACACTTCAACACTTCAATACACAGCAGCATGAGGCACAGAGGTGTTGAATGACCGACCAAAGAGGGAGGGAGGCCGGATCAAATGTAGAGTCGCAAGTTTGAAGTTGGAGGTTTGAGGCTGATTGTGGTAGGGGGTTCTCCACATGAGCCGCAGTCTCTCCACTTCCCTGGGTGGATTACTGGAGCTAAATAAAGGCGTCGTAACTCCAGGGTGGATGGTCTTTGTTCCATTCATCAGCACTTTGTGTTAGTCACAACACTTCAAGGCTAATGTTTATATCCTTTTACTGCAAAAGGTGCTTTTTGCAGAGCCATTAGCGGTCCAGGAGGTAATTGGGTGGGTCTTTTTCAGCAATGGTCTGTCATTATTTAAAGAGTGTGTGTGTGTGGCAAGTAATCATGGTCATGACTTGTAACCGGAAAGCTGCTAGTCTGAAGTCCTTTATATTTTTGAAGTCTGCTCGAAAAATCTGAGAGAGGGTTACAAAGCACATTGTGGTTAACAGAAAAGTTCACAATCAAACACAAAAAGAGGAGTGAGAGTGATAAATAAAGGACAATATAATTTTACAAAATTAGCTTTCTTTCAAGTGGTGAGGACTCTAAAGGATGATACACTCATATCCTGACTTGTGGACTAAAAGGGTCTAAGAGTAAGCATGTGGGTGTTTGCAGACAGCTGGCAGGGACGTGCAAGAACTGCAGCCGGCATTAACATGTCTAGCCGCTGGTGTTCCCACATTGTAATGATTGTTTGGAGCTCTTGTCCAGCCGTCTTAATTAATATGCATGAGTTAAAATTTGACCTCATGGATTAGAAGAGGCTTTCATGTCTGCATTGCCCTCTGATTTGATTGCTTCTTAATTTAAATGAATCATCCTACTCAGATCAGAAAAGCTTTTTGCCTCCCACACCTATTCACACAATATCCATCTGTAACCTGACAAAAAGTGCAACTAAAGAATAATAATAAGAAGAAGAAGACAAAGAAGACAAAGAAGAAGAAGAAGGAGAAGAAAAAGTTTATTGATCCCCAAAGGGACATTCAGTGCAAGGCTCAAAATATAAGTTTCACCACTGTTGCTCAGGTTGGTATGCTTTGAGTTCGTGCATGTATGCCAAATGCAGCATTATCCTCAACTTCTGTTTCTCACACTTTTCGTACAGCTCAGTGCATTGTGCCGCACTTTCCAAAAACTGAGGCTGTTTTTGCTGCAGGTGTATCCACAACTTTGAGCGTTCAATTTTTTTTCTTTTCTTTCTTTCTTTCACATGCAGCCTCAAAAATAACATAAACGTACCCCGACACAGCAGGTCCTGACTAATTAGTAAAATTTGATAAGCACTGTTGAAGCTCAATCCGGAAAGATTTGTTTTGAACCAATAATTGAGACCAAAAATCACCTTTTTTATCTACGAATTGACAAAATTTGGAATCAGTTCTTGTTACCTGAACCCAAACATATGTGACTAAGATGGACCCAGTTATGAACCCTAATTGACATTGATAGTGCTGGACAAAATCTAATTTCATCCTCCAACTCAGAGCCCACTTTGTAGAAAAATATATCAAAGCCCACCTGTTTGTATTTGCCAATAATTATATATTTAAAGCACCTGTGAGCAACTTTTAGTTTGTCTTTACTTTGGCGCCCCTTGTGGAGAAAGTGGTGTCTCTGATGTCTGATAATTTTGCCTGGAGTGTAAGTAATGTTATAAAAAATGAAAGTTTCTGTTAGATGAATCACTCTTTTAAATCCCCCAGATAGTAGCCAAAAGCATCAACAATCATGATCAACAAACTGTGTGAAAAACTACAAACTATGACTAACTAATCAGGCTTTTTGCTATAAGAAAAGATTTGGTAATTACAAGCTAAGGGGTAAAAACATATCCATTTAAGTGAACGTATTGCACTGCTGTAACTTTTAGATGTCATCTTTTGTTTTCTTACAAAGTAATGTTTTTCTGACCTTTGTAATGATTGGTATAATGTCTTCTGTAAAGCACTATGGCTTGTCTTGTTGCCTAAAGGTGCCATAAAAATAAATTTGCCTCGCCTTGTGATGTGTTGTTCCCCCTCTATTTTGTCCACATTTGCATTTTGCCAGCATCTGTTCTTGGGCTATTTAGCCAATGTCAAGGCTTGTGTAAGTCCAATATTTGCTCTCTGTGCTGTTTAACCTTCGGCAGAGGTCAGAGAAGATCAGAGAGACCAGACAGATCAAGCAAAAGAGCAGACGTCTGTGTCACATTCCTCATGTGGCCTTCATCATGGAGACGATATTTACATTTCTGCAGGAAAAACAGAGCCTTTAAGTGCAACTCTGTTTGTGTCCTTTGGGAACTGACCGATCATTGTGAGCGTGAGGCTGCAGAGCTATTCAAAGCTAGTCTACTTTCTTGAAATATTGTCGTTAGAAGAGACTTAGCGACCTTAGAAGTCTCCAGCCATAATACATTGACTGTGATGTACATGTTTGAACTTCCTTACAAGATCTTGACTTGATCAGTTATGGGTCCTGGGATCAGACAACTCATTGCTAAATGATGACAAAAAGCACAGACAAAACTCAGAAATTTAACAACTATTTATTGTCTTGAAGTATGTAACAAAATATCCACTATGAATAAAAACAGCATTTTCGCTTTGTACATCTAAGAAAAATGTTTACAGAAAAGCAAAACTAATTGTACAAAAATAATGGTAACATTGGTACACAATAACAAAGAAGGTAAAAACCATAAAGAACAGAACATCCTCACGTCAGTGTGCAAACTGTTTATACAGACGGACCTGCGCCCTTTAGCAAGGCTGCAAATCCTGATAAATTATTTAAATAGCATTTTTCTACACACACGCACACACATATCGACCTCTTTCAAACAGCTACGACAAAAACATAAGAATAATTTACCTGCTAAAAAAAAACAGCATTGGACATATCATGATAAAGCAAAATGATTCATAAAAAAGATATCTCCGGCTGTTCTGTTAATCTTACCAGGGTAGATCACAGGTTTGGGAGATTGTTGTGTTTTAAGATTAGAAATGTCATACTATTTACAGCTCATGCTACAGTAGCACTAAATTGTCCATTTCAAATGAATATGAAAAAGTACTTAGGTTGTGTTTTTGTTCGATCAAATTATACAACAGCAATGAGGTAATATTTGTACATCAAAGATTTCCTTTGTTTTTCATCTCTCTCTGAAGGAAAGGCACACAAGTAGCACACGCTTCATGCTTAATAGCTCCATCTGAAGAATATTTAATTCACTTTGTACAGTGGGAGATGATAAGACACTGGAAAAGCATGCATAATGCTGCTGAAACCCGGCTGTACCTGATTTTGGGTCAGTTTTCACTTGGGGTCGGGGGTCGACAGATTATTTGTAGTTCATAAAACTGATATTTGGAAGTTATATGAATTTGAAAATTGTGAATTTGGGTAATGCAAATTTCAACATAAAACTTTGCCCCAAGCTCAACATCATTGACTGGAGTTTACAGTGAACCAGTTACGATTCCAGTACAGTCAGATCAAAGTTAGGTGACTTCTAGATAACCAGACGACAAAATGATGTAAGAAAACAAATCCAGAGTAAAACTGACAGTGCAGCCTGATTATCACACTTTTCAATTTTCAATTTATTAATTCTGTTGGCCATCTATGAAATAAAAAGCCAATTCAGGTAACTAATCAGTTGCCAAATGTCAGCCTGATAATCAGCCAACAACAAAAATTGGTAAGCCCCTTGTTTGCACAATGACATTGGATGGATATTCTTTTAATAATTGTACTTTTTCAAAGCATTCAAATTTTTAGCTGCCTACACTGTAGGCAAGAGTCAATAAATTACATGTATTTACATTATTCAAATTGAAATCCTCACCAGTTGAGGGAGATAAATCTCTTCATTGACCAAAGTTTTGATGTTAAATGGAGGTTATGTTAAAGGGAATATTGGCTTTCTGATCAACTGTTTGTGCAATTTTTGTAAAAAAAAAAAAAAAAATCAAATCCTCATATATTTTCTTTGCAGAAATGATATGGGAAGGTTGTGACTTCCATCTCACCCTGAGAGTTGTTGAGTTTACAAGAAACAATAAACAAAGCCTATGATATGTGTAACTGAAAAAGAAAACTAACCCTAAATAAAAATTTGTAGTTCTCTTTTTGATAGCGATCGTCTATAAAGATTTCTTAGGTAGATGGGTAAGGCACCCTCTTGCTCCATTCAATCTTCCACGTACAGTATACTCATTATTAACATTTACAACCACAGCGTCATGTTGCCCTTCTTTCTATCATGTTCCACACCCAGCAGTCTCTGGAGTCCCGCGTCTTCATCAAAAAACGATTCCTAAAAAAAAGTCACTGCTGTCTTCATCCTTTGAGTCCTCAAAAGTTCTGTCTTTCAAAATCTACATCCTGGCAGATCTAGTAATAAAGTGAATGAAATATTTCATCAGTTTTTCTTTGGGATGTCCATTCAGAAGGTAAGGTAGGAAGGCACAAAGGCTAAAGAGGCTTGACAGAGAGAGATGTAAAGGCTTGGAAGTGCATAGTTATTGATGGGGAGCGTTCCTGCACAGAGATAAATGAGCTCTTTCAGAGAAGCAGGTAGAGCTGGAACAGAAAGGTGTTAGTGTCCTAAAAGCAAAGAGCTTGTCTTTGATTTTCCAGAACTCTTTCTGCTCCAATGGATGCTAAGAATGGAGAAGAAGGGACTCTCTGATCCCCAACTGGTAGTCAACAGGTAGGAGGTTTGTCCAAACCTGCTTCAAGCTACCCTGAGGTTGACCACATGCCCCTTGCCTGGTCCAAGTGTGCGTACCGCAGAAGGAAGAGTTGCGGAAATGTGTCGGTCCCTGGACTTTGCATCAGAAACAAAAGTTCATACTTTGTACAAAAAAGGTGCATCCCTCAGAGATTCCTGTGCTGGGTGTTTAGGCATCTGTTCAGGAAAGAGGCAATGGAAAGAACTTAATTTTGACTCTTCAGGGACATAGTTATTAGAAGCAAGACATCTTGTGCAAGCTTTGTTACAATCATGATTCAGTGAACTTCGTGTAAATCCTCACCTCTGCATTCATACTTGAGGTCTGAGAAGTATACCATCTCTTGTGAGAAGACAAAGAGACCTAGCCTGCCACCTGCATATGTCTTGTCATAGATGCTCCCAGAATCTGCCATGATCTTCTTGCCCTCATACATCACAACTCTACAGAAAGAAGGAGAGATTCAATCAGGTTTGGTCCAAAGCTTGGGAATTTTTGCAGACTTTCTATCTGGACTTCTGGAGATTCTTCACCCACCTAATAAGTCCTGTTCTTGGTCTGTGGATCAGGTGCCATCTGTATGCTGTGAAGTCTTTCCATCCAACATTCTTAGGGTCATGCCAGAGAGTGCGGACCTGAAGCATGGGAACATAAAAAGACATGTATTACACATCTCTAAATTGAAATGGCCCATAGTGGAAAAGAAGCTCCAAACCTCCACCAGATCCCTTACCTGTCCTGGAGTATTTCCTGTATGCCAGAGGGCGTTCCTTAGGTGCTCTCCTGGGCCAGTGGTGGAGTTCACCACTTTAATGGACAGGCCAGAGTAGCCCTGAGCCTTTGTGGGTTTATTAGACCAGTATGTTTGTGTAATCTGCTTCCACATCACTACATAGAACCTGGAACTGGACTGGTAGCCGAAAACAAAACCAGCATAATCATCATCCCTCTCTGTGTTGATGAAGAAAGTTCCACTGAAGTCCACAGAATTGAACTCATGGTAACCTGGAGGAGAAACCCAAGACAGACACCTCAGTTTCATCAGAAACCCCAAACCCTTAAATTGTCAGAGTACCATCTTTAAGTAAAATTAAACTGATGCTCCAGACAGCCATAGTCGAGTGATCTTACCAACAGCAATGCCAGGGTCGCAATTGACCGTTTGCACAAGTTCTTTGCCCTGATGGCGGACAACCCAGTTAGGGTCAATCTGAGAAGTGCCTTTGGGGTCCAGAGGAACCATCTGGAACTTGCGGAAGTCAGTCTCGCTAATGTCAAAGTTCTCAGGGCACACATCGTAGATGTCAGGGACATTGTCCTGATCAAAGTCATCTTTGCAAGCATCTCCACGACCATCACCTAAGACAGGAAGATATGATAATACCCAAACTGTGATGAAGATGTATAAACAGGACATGTTGTCTCTTACTTTATTGCTCAGGGCCATTTAAAGATTGTAAAGGAACCTGTGTCTGATTCATTTTGCTCACCATCAGAGTCTAGTTGGTCAGGATTGAAGGCCAGTCTGCAGTTGTCTTTGTCATCTGGGATGCCATCATTGTCATCATCGTGGTCACAAGCATCTCCTTTGCCATCTTTGTCATGGTCGGCCTGGTTAGCATTGGGGATGTATGGGCAGTTGTCAAGGTTGTTCTGGTGTCCATCCTCATCGATGTCCTGGTTGCTGTCACACTTGTCTCCAACACGGTCATCATCTGAATCTACCTGCAATGTTAGAATGGTCCAGAGTCAGAGTTTTGATCATTTTGGTATAAGGCTTATGAGGAGAATGAGTGTGTTTACATGGACCGATATCATAAATTGGATCATTTAAACCCTGATCAAAACCAGGATACTCTAATCTATATAGGCACACTCCATCATCAAGTGTGAGCATATGATGACTAGGGCTGTAAAGTCCTAGTGGACCGGTCGACTTATTGGTCAATACGTGTTGAGTCCACCAAAATTCTTATTGGTCGACTAAATTTTTTCTGCATCAATTGACAGTCTATGGTTAATTTCATTAGGAGGAACATGCCAAGTGCTAATGGATTGGTTTTCAGAGCACCCCCATCTCACAGGTAACAGCCGGTCTCAGAACAGCCTCCTTGTTATTAACATTTTGAATTTGCCCAACCCACTGGAGACCGGCTGGAGACAGGAAGATTGAAGAGCATCCACGTTAATCAACGTCCGGTGGTTTGCTACATAGAATATTTGTGTTTGCCCTCCTGTGCTGATATCAGTATATTTTCACCCTTAGCCAAGCTGCGCTCTGCTGAGCTGGGTCGTCCCCCACCGCAGAAGGAATTTTAGATCTATAACCTCCTCTTTTTATGAGGTGTTTAACAAAGGCTGAATGACCGTGCCTTTGTAAAGTTTCCAAACTCAATTTGTCAAAAAAAATCTGCCAGCAGGGTCCAGCCTCAGAAACTGTAACTTCATCATTCTTTTTAAATTCCTCTCCCCTTTGTTCAGAAAGTAAATGAGCAATACTAGACACACCCTCCAGCACTGAGGAGGACTTGAGACGAGGGAGTAATGAAAATAAATGAGGGGTGTGTGCATAAACTGGGTGTGATGATAATTGTGTAAATTCAGTGGTTTTATTGTCAAAAGGATCAACTTTATGAGAGTTATTTTATCATTTTGTTGTCTTTGGATCAACAGGTAACATCACTTCAAAAATAGACTAGTCTTTTTTCAGTCTTTCCATCCCTCTAAGGCCAAACCAGAGTAGATTTGGACTTTCCCCTCTTTTCCTCATCCCTATTTTGAAGTACTATTGTTTAACACATTCCTATCTCCCAATGTAGCATGCCACAGGTGGACTGAGCAGGCCAGTGGTGTGCAGACAGGGTATGCACACAGCCCGGGGCCAGTCCATTCCTCATGGCATCCACCCTGGGGCCTCTTCCTTCACATTAGCCAGCTAACGTCAATAGGCCATTGAAAAGCCCCTTTCCCCCCCACCACGCCTTATTGAACTGATGCGCCCTTGAGCTCATACAGGACTTTACATGGCGTGATAAAAGCTTAGAAAGCTGCACAGGGCTAATCACTGAGGCTCCGTCTCAATTGACAGAGCAATACATGCTGAGCTATGGAGAAAATCAGGGAGATGAATTTGGATTATTGTTGGGTGAGGTGGAAGAAAGTGGGGGAGAGCTTAGAGTACTTTTTGAGTCAACATACCTGATCAGGATTATGTTCTAGAGGACAATTGTCACACATGTCTCCAACTCCATCCAGATCTGTGTCTCTCTGGTCCACATTGTACACATAGGGGCAGTTGTCCTTCTCATTCAGTATGCCTGTGAAATGAATGTGAATATATGACTTTAAAAACTCATAATGTAAGTGTGTAAATCAAAAAGCATGACCTAACTTCAGGTTTTCAGTACTCACCATCTCCATCGATGTCCACAGCGCAGGCGTCTCCCTCTCCGTTATTGTCTGTGTCCGTCTGGTCTGGGTTACTATTGTAGGGGCAGTTGTCGCAGCGGTCACCCACATCATCACGGTCATAGTCATACTGCCTTGGGTTGTACACAAATGGGCAGTTGTCCTGTTTCATAAAGGAAAGACATGTAGGAGGGGAATAAGTTAAGGATGGACTTCCAGGTGCACTCATTTTCATTTGCCGTTTGAGCCTCAAGGGGTCTATTTACAGGGAGGGATTGATGCTGTATGAAAGGGTGCTTTATTTTTAGGTCCTGTCCCAAATCTAATGTTGGGATTAGCAAACACACAGTGCAGCTCCTTCAGGGCTGTGCCTCACTGTTGGAATTTGTGGTTTTGGCTCAAGGTTGGGAGAAACATTTGCTTTCCTGCTAAGCCTCCCCTCCCATCCTCCCTCCACCTGCCCTCTAATAAGACAGCATGAATGATGAATGAAAATCTCAGTCAAAGAACACACACAGGTACACACAGAAAGGATTTCACTTACCCTGTCATCAGGGATGCCATCATTGTCATCATCACTGTCACAAGCATCTCCAATGCCATCCTTATCGTAATCTTCCTGCCCAGAATTGGGGAGGTTTGGACAGTTATCCTGAATAACAAAAAAAAAAAAAAAAAAAAAAAACAAGAATGAAGGTCAGAGATGATAGAAACATACATGAAATAAATGTCTTTAATTAAACTGTTCACTGAGCTATTACCCACATGAGTTTTGAAATCCACTGCTACTTACCTTTTTGCAGTGGTAGGTGGCGTTTTCCACACAAACCAAGTCAGCATTTGGCCATCCATCTAGATCAGTGTCCTCTCCACAGATATGGCCATTGCCAGCATAACCTGGCTTACACTCACAGCGGAACATAGGATCGGCAAAATGTCCAAGGTAGTTACAGCGGGCGTTTTTGTTGCAGTCATGGCTCCCATCCAGGCAGGGATTACGGGGTGTGCACACCTGGAGAGGAATGATCAGTGATCAAACTGTCCATGCATAGTTCAAATTCATGACATTCTGTCCTCACAAAGGTAGCTTTTCATTACAATACAGCAGAATGGTCTTGCCTCAGGGCTACCATGCACAAATTTCTCTCCTGTTCATCATTCATCATTTATTCACTTATTTCTTTCTCATTACTCCAAACTAGGTTTTGCCAGATTATTTGCCTGTATTTGTCTCTCACTGGCTGACAACCACAAGAGCTCACTTGCCTGTTTGTTAGCAGTAGCCTGTTCCACACCTCTCCCAAACGGCTGGAGTCCTGAGTAGCGAGGAGGGCAGGGTAGACAGTTGTAGCCGGGATCTGTGTTCTCACAGCGATGAACGCCATTAAACTCGAAGCAGGCATCTGGCACCTCTTTGCACTGTTTTAAGAAGGAAAAAGACCACCATTGAGGATAAAGTAGAAGACCCAGTGGGTGTTTTAAGGGGCCTCCAACCAAATTGGAAGTTGACTGAATTTTTAAACACCATCTATGGACGTTTACCTCATCAACATCTTTGCACTTGATACCATTGCCGGTGTAACCAGCTGGGCACTTCCCACACTTCCATGAACCATCAGGGAAACTGGTGCACTTGGTTCCAGCAAAGCAGGGGTTTGAGAGGCATCCATCTAAAAACAGTAATGTTCACTCATTATTACACAGCAACCACAAGCTTAAAGATATCATTCAAATGTTACCCCTTTTTATTATCAGGTTACTCTCTTTTCCAATGATGATCTCTTTTTTTTTTTTAAAGTTTGATTAGGAAAAGAAACCCCAAACTATTCTAATGTATTAAATCATAAAACATACAGCTTCTAAAATAATACTAATACAATAGAACCCAATTGTGGAGGCTTAAGGTGGCTCACCAATTGGGCATGCTTTCTTGTTGCACAACTGGCTCTCTTTGGCGTCACCAACACACTCTTTTCCGCCATATTTTGGTGCAGGATCATTGCACAGGCGTTTGCGGGTCTGGGCTCCTCCTCCACAGGTAAGACTACAGCTATCCCATGGTGACCAAGGTCCCCAGTTGCCATTGACTAAGAGAGCCACAAAGGGATCATGATCAGTTTTTAAGCATGTTTTTAACAACAGGCAAATAAAACCGAGTTGAAAGTATCAGAAGGTTGGACTTACTCGGGCATGGAGACTTTTGACACTTCTCAGTTTGGCGGCCCTCTCCCACACAGTCCTTGCCTCCAAGTTGAGGGGTGGGGGAGTTGCAAAGGCGGATACGGGTGATGACACCAGCACCACAGGTTACAGAGCAGGATGACCAGGGTGACCAGTGGCTCCAGTTGCCGTCCTGCTTGACTGAGGGGAATGAAGAAGGGTCAGAGGTCATTTATCAGAAGGGATGGACTATTGTGGCGTTCAGTCATATATTACTGAAAAGGTTATGGTGATTACCAGACCAACGCTGTCACTATATTTGGGTGAGGGTATGTTGTTGTGAACTCACAGCGCTTGTCACACTCCTGGAGGTAGCAGTCTCGGGTCTGCACAGAGGTACCCTCACAGTTGTTATTGATACGGTCGCAAGAGCGCCCACGCTGCTGGATGCCCCGCCCACACGACACGGAACAATGAGTCCATTCAGACCAAGGCGACCAGCCACCCTCTGCATAGTCGCTCACTGAGCAGGAGGGAGAGGGAGAGAATATGAGAGAGAGAGAGGGGAAGAGGGAGACAATAAAAGAGCTATTCCAGCGAGGCAGCAGCCCTCACAAACACCCCCCAAGTCTAAATGAGGAGGGAAAGCTCCTAAAGCAGAGGGCTAATAGTGTGGATTTAGCTGGAACTTTAGGATAAAAAGAAGGCCCTCTGTTGAAGGGGAGGCTGGGACTAACACTCTGAGAGAGGCTGGAGAAACAGAATGAGCCACTGTCTTCAAGACACATTGGGATGCCCCACTGGCTTATATTTTCCTAAAGGGGAAACAGATTTTGCAAACATGGCCCTGGGTGTGTAATGACTTAAACAAGTGGCTGAGCTTTGGATGAATGTAGCTCCCTTTGTTTATTTAGGTTCTACAGCAGCATGACAGCCAAGCCCGCATAGGTATGAAGTACATGTCACTTCTTTTCATGTGGAAGATGGCTTCACTAAACAGCCGGCCCATTTTCCATCCAACTTTGAACCAATTTGGCAAATTGCAGCTATTTGAACTTGAGGATTCAAAGATGTTTGGAGCACAAAGCCTCTGTGTTTTAAACACACAAGTGCCCTTTTATTTAATCGGATGTTATTGCAGTTAAATCATCTCTAAAAGTAGTCTGTTTTCTCTTGAATGGAACCTCTTGTATCAAGGGAAATCTTTCTGTTGTATACAGAAAATAACTTGAAATGTCTCTTTCAGGGAAATGATCTGTCTGTCAGTTGAAACTTACACACTCCAGCTCAAAGGGGTCATTTTACAGTAGCCTACAGTACAGGTTTACATTACAGCTAGTGCAGTGTGCTTTCCTGTAGCTATACAGTTTAAACGATGAGTTATATTTTATAGGAAAAAATGCTTACGTGTTCCACAGGTTGGACAGCACTCTCCATCGGGAACAGTGGCATTAGAGCAGGGCATCAGTGGGCAGGAAATCTTACGGCATACAGTCGCAGAGTTCTGCACGGGTTAAAATAAGTGGTTTGACTTATGCCTGTGGATTTCACATACATTTTAGAGCAACCTTTGCGCAAATCAAGTCCAGGTGCTGAAGTACAGTTTGCAAATGGAATTCAGACACCTCAAAAGAGAGTAGTGTGTAATGTTGCAAAAGCCTATTTGAATGAGTGTATGTAGCAGCATAGTTGCTTACTCCATGTCCGTGCAAGTAACCCATTAAATCCTCTACTCAGCATCTGAGATTATACACAACTACTGTGGCAGAAACACAGGCAAATTAAACAGCAGAATTCTGGCTGAGAAAGGGAACCTCCTGCAGACAACAACCTGCCTAACTGGGTCAGCAGAGGGAGGAAACCAAGCCAAAGACAGATAATGGATGCCGGTCCCAGTGTGGAGCTGAACTGGGCACTGAGCCCTGAACAAGTAAAGCCAGCATGCAAACCCAATCTGTATGGATGACCTGTGAATGACTGAAGGATAATAACTCCCTCCAACTATGCATGCTCAACCCTCCCTTCTGGATCTGATCTCTCACAGGGAAGAAAAGAAGACTCAGGGACAACTTGCTAGAAAGGAAATCAGGAAATAATGGCTGTGAAATTCATGGATCTTTCCTGCCAAGTGTTTTCGCAGGGGAGATTCCTCTTTGCACATCTCTGAGCCAAGGTCCCTCTTAATTATAGCAATACATCACTAAAAGTCTGGTCAAGTCCCCCTAGGTCACACTCCAGCTCAACTCCTGACAGGAGGCCTCTCATTACAACAGCAAAGGCTGTTGGCCTAGCGCCAGGGCTCCACACTGCTAATTACCGGCCAAGCCTGTTGAGTGGATCTAAGTGTGTGTGCGCCTCTGTGTGAGTGGACTTTACATACAAGTGTGGGTGTACAAATACATCATGAGCATGAAGTGCATCCCCCCTGAACACGTGTACTTAAGACTCAGTATCCACAGTGGAGATCTCACCTGACAAGTGCACTCAGTGCAGTCGTCTATGGTCCACTCATCTCTGTTCTTGTGCACAATGCCATTGTGGATGCAGACGCCACTGTGAATGCCAATGCGGGTGTTGATCAGCTTGTTCTCATCAGTCTGGGGAGATACAGAATGGATTGTTGATAACTTTGCTGGCAAAAACATGCTGTAAGAAAACACATATGAACTTCAGTAACACTATGAGGAATGTTTCCATCTTCTTGATCAAGGACACTCCCATCAGGAAAAATACCTTGGCAAGAGAGATACCCCTTTGGCACCTGCCTTCCTATAACTTCACTATTAAGATTTAGCTGCCATGATGATGCTGTTCCTGGACTGATAAGGCATGAGACTTGGGCACACGGCCTAATAATTGATTATCATTTAGTTGTTTTTTTCTCCTGTTTTTTTTTTTTTTTTTTTTGTAGTTATTTTATCTGTGTTATTCTGAGTACAACATAGAAGCTACAGGTATGAAAAAATCCAGATTAATCTACATCGTCATAATGTAATAAAATCAATTGAAACAATTGAAGATAGTAGAATATGCTCTCATTTTTGCAGCTGCACTGTGCAGATGGTAGCATTCCTCTCTTCCAAACTTACAAATGGGCAAGTTTCTATAAAAAGCATGTTTCTCAGCAGTCTCCTTTGTTTTCTAAGCACCGGTTTCTTAACCAAAAATAAGTTTTTATGGTGCAAAATTTGACAAAAATTCATAGCTGGGAAGTCACCCAGAGAACAGACACTCTTTAAAAACAATACACAAAGGAAAACTGGCAACAGAAAAAAACTAATCACTGGTTATACTCTACCACCAGATGGTTTGGTGAAGTTTCTCCTTACCAGCTGGCGGAGTTTGACTGCCAGGTCTTTGACCACGACACCGAGGCTCTTCAGCTCCTTAAACATGCTGACCAGGTCCTCACAGGAGAAGCCACAGACCATCTGCAGATCTTTGCCAGAGAAAAACACAAGGATGATGGTCAATAGAAATAAAATCATCGCCACTATTTGACAAGTCTGGTGAGTTACTTGCCTGATCAAAAGAGTCATGCAACAGGGCACATGTCAGACTCACATGCAGTGGTGTTTACCTTTAGTCTTGTGTCCGGTGTACTCGGTTCTGATAGCTGAGGAGCCGTTCAGGTTCTCCAGGATCATGGTATCAGTTGCGATGGCTGCAAGAGGAGCAGTTTCTCATCTTAAATCACATCTCTGTACTCTAATCTTTATGAATGATTTATAACCAGAGAGGGTATTATTATTAAAATCGGAGACATCCCACACTGCTATGAAGTATAATGAAAACTAATACAGCACGGCTTAGCAAACATACTTGAAGACCACAGTGCCCTGAGATATTTGCAACTAGCATTCCTGTGTAACAAGTGGTAACCAGTGTCCTTGGGAGGGATTTATGTAGAAATCAGCAGACAGTTTCAGTCAGTACACATCCCTTAGATAGGATCTTGGCAATATATCGAGCAAATGAGTGATGAGTAAACACACAAGAAGTTTGGTCACTTACTGTTTTGGCATCCTTTGTTGCGCAGGATGGCATCCAGAGTGGTTCCAAACACAAACCGCACGTTTTGAAGGACCCCCTGCAACGATCAGAGAGCAGTTTAAGCTATAGTCTAGTGCTTCACTGTAAAAAATCGCTTATGACTGCATACACTAAAGCACTGAGATAACAAACCACTCTGCAACATGTGCGTTTTGACGCATTTGGACACAGTTGCACATTAAATCAAAGCTCTCTGTTTGTAGAATTCAAAATTACTTTCTTCATTCTAAACAAACTGAAAACTCACTCCTGCGTGCTCTCACCATGAATCTGTCCTTCACTGCTCCTTTGCCAATCCTGAGGCGCGCGCCGGCAGGCGTCTCCAGCGTCAGGATGCTCTGGATGGGTGCATCCAACTCGGCGGTGTTCACCTCCTCGCATCCTGCATACAGCTGCGCGCGGTCCTCCTGCACGAACAGCGTGATATTCTTCCAGTGCCCGGTAGCCAGATCCACATCCTCGATGGAAACCACCTGCTGCTTATTCTCCGTGGAGAAAACTATGTCCAAGGTGTTCGCTTTGCCGTTTGAGACGATCTCAAACACGGGTCCGGAGCCATCCTGCTTCTCCACGGTGAGGAGGCTGCCTCTGGTCCGCTTGAACTGCTTGAAATTGAGCAGCAGGAGGAATCCCCTCTCGGCGTGGATGGAATCGATCAGGTCCCTAAAGGCGCTCTCGGGGACGGGGGGGATCAGGTCCGGGTTTAGGATCTTGTAGGCGGGGCTGTACGGGTCGTCTCCTTTTACCAGGGTCACCCCGTGGTTCTTCTTGGGGACTTGGACGAGCTCAAACAAGTCATACACGCTATTGTCGTCCCGAGACTCTGCAGGGGAGTAAAAACAAGCAGTCAGCCTTTGTCTGGCACTGAACCGGACCTTTTTGGTTTTCAATCACAAAATAATGCGAATTTTAACGACTCATATGAAGGAAACACGAGCAACGTTATACCTGAAAAAAAAACTGCTATGCCTAAAATGTCAAGTCGTATCACTCAGCTGAGCCAAACTCACCTGCGACTCTTGCGCTCTCGCAGGTCCAAAGCATCAAGAGCAAAAATATTCCTGTCAACTTCATGGTGAAACCTGCTGCCTGTGACACAAAAATGACAAAAGAATCCCAAACTATTTACAACTTAAATGTCATCGTCAAATAAATCAAATGTGCAACAGGTGGACAACTAACCAAACCAAGTGCAGCTGCAGAAATGCGCACATTCCTGAAACTTCTGCAATTTCGTACTCACCTGCTTCTCAACACAGCAGAGAAAAGGGAATAAATCCAAAATGTGTAAAAATCCAGCAATAATCCTCAAGTTTGAATTTCTTTCGTGTTATATGGAAGAAAAAAAAAGTTCCACTGTGCAAAAAAAAGAGAGAAATAATGAATTATTTCACGCCTTTACTTCTCCTCCTTAATGAAAACTTGTCCTTGCTGTTACGGCCGCTAAAAAACTCCCTTTTAAGCCGAAGGGGGACAAAGTGCTATTTAAATAGTTTGATGCCATTCCTAAGAAGTGGCCTCGTCCAATCACGGAGAGGTTAGAGTAAGGGACGAGTTTAGAGAGAGAGAGAGAGAGAGAGAGAGAGAGAGAGAGAGAGAGAGAGAGAGAGAGAGAGAGAGAGAGAGAGAGAGAGAACTGTGCGTTGCACCCAGACTCTTAATGGAGCAGTGTTTCCTCTAACAGCTTCCATCCATCAGTCTTCAGCAGCAGCATAACATTGTCTCAGGGTTTCCCATAAGCACTCAACTGAGTCCTGTCATATTTCTATGATAGCCCTGAAGTGTCTCTCTGGTATGCAATGATTAGATCACTATGATATCAGCAGCTGCAGTATTCTTAAAACTCTCATGCACACGTGGAAAATAATGCACCTTTATTGCAGTCTGGACTTTTTTGTTTTATAATATCATTGTATTTAAGCAGATTTCAACAATAATACTGTGTGTCTACAAAGTTTCTTTGCCTTTATACTTCAGATGTAATTTAAAGTTTGTAGTTTAAAACAAGTAAAACATCCTTAACTATAAACAAGGTAAAGAAATCCTTTATTTTCAAATTTTCCCCTGTCAAGCGGGTTGTACGGTATTTAAGATCTGGAGAGTTTCAGTCATCCTCGGTTGGTTGCAGTTCCAGCTCTGACCACTAGGAGTCGACGGGAGCTCACTGGAGGTGGCCTGAGGCAGTAGACTGGAGTCCTGTCGCACATCATAACCCTACCACACTTGCAGTTCTGTTGTTTTTGCTGAAATTTTGAGCAAAAATCACAGTAAAGAGGCCCACACATATAAAGTGACAGTGAATTCTCTTCAAATATTACAAAGGCATGGCATTAAAAACATCTTCTGAAGCAAGAATCATCTCTGCTTAAGTGTCAAAGAAAGAGAGAGAGTATGATAAAAAGTTTCAAGAATAACATGTAGTGGAGCCAGAGACTCGGTATTAAGAAGAATCAAACTCACAAATGAAGTCTAACAGATAAAAATACAAACCTAACTGACTAATAAGACTACCGAACATTACAAATCCAGTTCTAAGCTGATTTTGAAAAGTAAATATATCAGTTTTTCATCTGTGGTAAAAGAGTAACAGAGCAGTTCGGTCATCTCTGGTCTGAGGTGTTAAGCAATTTCAACTCAGTTGTTATTGCCCATTTTTCATAGGAACTTGAGGAGCTGTTTAATGTGGCAGGATCATCTGCACCAAGCACATACTTAACTGTTTACACCACAAGTAAACTGCTGTTAGTTTACAGGAAGAACTCCCTTCTTGTTTATCAGATAATGACATGAATGTTTTGAGTGAAGCACAGATTTATTTTGTTGGTTTGTTTCTCATAAGTGAAGTGAGCTTCCACTGAAGCACTTTAAAAATCTGTCTGTCAAATATAAACCACATTGACACAGTATGAAGCTATTTCTGTCTATAATTCTCATGAACTCTTTTCAATCAGGTGGCATATGGCTCTGATCTGCTTTGTTATTTCAGCCATGTCTTTTTAGTGCATAACTGTGTCCCTGGAAGCTTGCACATGCAGTTTATTACATTTTCCAATAATGTGATCCTTTTACACTGCTTTTTCAGCACCATACCCCCCAAACAGTGAAAATAATTTTCCAGAAAAATAATAAAAAATCATGCAAAAGGTTTAATACAAAACTTGTCATCTTAAAAAATTGCCCAGTCCTGGAGAAGGTTGCAGATTGCTCAGATAAATCTCTTCAATTGTATCCTTTTCATTATCATCAAAAATGCACAAGATACTATGCAGTGTGTGAATGAGATGTGCAAAAATAAACAAACATATATGTCCCCAACTGCTGCAGTATTAGATGCACAGTGAAGTGATGTTCAGAAAAGGCCCAGAAAGTACACTTGGGGCAGAGACAGAGAGTGATGGATGGACAGGAAGAAAACTAAGGAGCAAATTCACTAAAAGTGCTGCTAAAGGCATCAGAAATGCACATAAATCACTTCTGCTGTGCTTGATTTCAGGGTTTGATTCGCAAAGCATAATACAATCATGAAATTATTTGCAAACACTCATAGCCAGTTTATAGCTCAATGCACTTTGCTCTTTGCATCCAATTTTCAAAACGAGCTGTAAGCATCTTTACTAGAGCTTCACTGTGCACTCTCATCCTAGTAGATCTAGATGTGTACAAATAGATCATGAGCTGGATCAGGTGGGAACACTTCTTCACTTGATCAATGTGACACAATTATCACATTGTATGTGGTTTCCTGTGCATCTGCAGCCAGCCTCAAGTAGATACTCCTGCATCAACTCAACAAGAAAAGAGGTTGTTGCTTGGGTGTGCCACAAGGTTCAGTTCTGGGATCTTAGTTGTTATAATGATATTTCAGGTAGGACCACTTTTATCAGAAGAACTTGCATGCATTAGTTTCATGTGGTGAAAGCCTGTAGTGGGGAAAGTGGGGAGAAATCCAATTATTTGTTTCACATGCATGGATTTTAAGCCCCACTGTGATGGGTTTTTTTTACACTCAAAGTGTTCTCAGTGGTCTTTCAATTGTGATTATGAAGTTTGTGGACAAAATCACCTTACCTGTGTAATTTTCAAGGACTTTTCTTCTGCAGAGCTCCAGTAGCTCATTAGCTATTCGCCTCTGAGTCGTGGGTGGAGACAGCACTGCTCTACACACTCCTCTTCACACTAGCTTGCAGCCTAACATTACCAGTGTAGTAGAAGTAGCAGGTAGGAGCTGTTCAGCTCTTGAACACTAATGTCTTTAGGGACATGATGAAAGCTAATATCATAATTAGCTTTCTTACGAGCATTACAATTTGCTAACACACACACACACTGATTCTACGATCATCCTCTCTACCTGACTGAGTCTGGCCTTCATAGCGGGGCGGAGCTTGGATTTGTTATGTAGGAAATCTCACTGTATCTAAACCTGCTGTTTGGGTCTGTCAGAGATTCACAGAGATTTGAATGAAGAAATTCTCAGAAATGCAATTTGCACTTATTTTTGATATGTCCTGTAGCATCAGAAAAATTAACCTATGAACATGTAGACAACAAGAAAAACATGATCATCATCGGAGTAGGTCTTTAAAAGATGCACTGCTGTGTGATTAATATACTCAGTGCATACCACACCTACGTTTATACGAAACGTTTCAAACCTGTGAATGTAAACAGATGTGTGCACAAGTTTCCTTGTTGTGGAGCAGAGATGTCTGGGGATGAAGGCTCTACCCTGAGGGGTCCAGAGGTCAGAGCTGAAGTGGCTTTTCTGGTGCCTGTGAGTCTTCGTCTCCTGTCTCAGATCAAGACTCATGACTGCAGGTAGCTTGTTGCTAGAAGTGGAGGAGACACTGACAGCACTTCACGAGCCAAAATAATTGACTTGTCATAAAAGAAAATAAAGATCTGTTGATTTGGGAAGATCTTAACCTTGACTGAGCCAGTGGACTGACTTGTGTTGAAGTGATGCACAATGTGGGGGCCTGTTTGAGCTCTTTCAAGACTCATGTTAGTGTTTGCTTGTTATTTTCTGAGCCCAGCCACTGAAGAAGAAAGCACGAGCAGGAAAAGAAGTGCTGTTCTTGGCAAAAGAAAATATAAACAAAGGGATCGAGAGAGAATTTGTCTGAATACACAACCACACTGCCACACACATTCACTTAAGACTGCTGGTTTGTAGATACTGTTTGCTGTTTTTGCTCCAAGGCCAAGAAGAGGAGAGAAGAAGGGGGGCAAAACAAGAAAAAAGAAGTGACAGGCATGAGGGAGAAATGACCAGAAACAAGGAAATAAGATGAGGAGATTCTGGAGAGGAAGAGGAGCAAAGAGGGGAGAGGTGTGGAGATACAATGAAGGGGAAAAAAGAAATAGGGAACAACAAAAAGTGAAGGACAGAAACTGGCAGTGGAGGGGAGATGGATGGAAATAAATCACAATGAGGAATAAGGAAAGACAGTGACATTGTAACAAAGGAAAGAGAGAAAAAAAAGGACTACTTGGCCAATGACGTGAGGGTGAGAACCATAGACTGTATATCGAATGGACAGTGTCTGCCTCCTCGCTGGGTGAAGCCACTCCGAGAACAGCTGCAGTATAGGTCATAAATCCCGCCTCCACCAGCAAAGCTTATAGAGATGTGGACAAACTTTAGAAATTAATTACACAGAACACAAATTTTTCTCCCCCCTGCTTGTGATGTTGACATGTAGTTATTGTAAGACTGGTTTGTGCTCAAGTCCTCTTTTTTCTGTGAAGCTCAGTTTTTAAAAGTTATTAGGGGGTTCATGTTTTCTATGATTGACACCTGATACAGCCTATGGGCGTTCAGGGATTGCCTCGCTCTCCCGGGGGGATACGCTGTTTGAGCCAAGTGTCACCACAGCGACTCTCGGCGACTGCACGGCCGAATGCGCGCATCGCTACTGCGCAGCACTGGTTTCAGGAAATGAAGAAAAATCCCGAAAATATCGAGAAATTTTTGGCTTCAAATCCATATACAGGCGCTAGGCGGAATCAAGTTGTCCATAGTATAAACAGTCTATGGTGAGAATACGAAGCCATGAGCAAGTTCAGAAGCAGAAAAGTGAGTAAAGGTAGAGGGAGTAAAAAAAAAAAAGAAAAAGGAGGAAGAAAACAAAAAAAAAAGAGGAAAGACAAGTAAAATGAAAGAAATGAGTAACAGAAAGGCACATTGTTACCAGGAGACAGCCCATTGGTAACTAAAGGCAGCATGTTACCACTCACTACAGTGGAGGTGGACATGCTTTCATCGATTAATCGATTCTTGCCCGGTGCTTTTAGACTGCAACGAAATAGTAGTCGTGATAAATCCCCTTACTAAGCTGTAACCATAACTTGACTTCAGTGTACGTGTAAATGTAAATGATTGGGAAACATTTTATGACTGCTTATGAAACTTTCCATGACAGCATCTCAACAGGTCCTAGCCCAGGCCTGCTCCATG